GAGCTGAAACCCTCGAGAAGGCCATCGCGCCAGGGCACAAGACATTGCGGGCAGTCAGCAAAGGTGTTGGTCCCAACGCCGCAGTGCAGCTTCTGAGCCTGGAATCTTATTGCGAATATGTGACACACATGCCACATCCACAGGCATATTGGCCCTGAGGAGTTGGCTGCCACTGGCGCAGCTAGTGCACAAAGCAAGGAGTTTCCTTAGCTGGAGCAAGGAAATCTTGGCCGCTTGCTTCATAAGTAGGCATGACCGCGTTTGAATTCACCCTGGCAATAACTGCTGAGCAAGAATGCGCGCAGGCAAAAAAGGAATCTTCGGCTACCGTCAGTCAAGGCAGGTGAGGGATGTCATTGACTGAGTGGGTTTTTTTTGATGCCTTTTGGCGATTAATCTCACAGCGCACTGTGCCTGGTGCCTTGCTACAGAATCTGCAAACTGAGGCCATCTTGAGAGTTTGCTTGCAGTGTCAAGCGCCGGAATCAAACGCAATCAAGTCTCGCATTCTGTGCATTTGACAGGCCCACCCTAGAGCCTGGCCGCGCTGAGGAGCTCTCCCAAAGGTACGGATGGAGGCAGTGGTCCGTAAGAGGCTTTCAGCGTACTCTGTGTGCGTGTGCAGTATTTGTATGGCTTGGGTGTGTGTGTGTGTGTGTCGGAGTACGTATACACACCTACATGTATATATATATATATGTTTGAATGTATGAATGTGTGTTTGTGTACGTGTATATAACTGGTGCGGGTTAGTGTGTTTTGCAGGCTGCTTTCTGTGTGGAAGCGGTGGGACCTTTGCCAACTGCCCATCAGCAAAAGAGATAGAACGTGCTGGAGCCAAGCATGCAACGTGCTCGGTCTGCCCAGCCTGTCCCTGCTCAAGGTCAACCTGTGAATTCCTGCTAGCAGGTTGTGCGCTCAACTCATTCAAACATGGATGCCAAACATATCATGTGGCCATGCTCTTTGTGAGCGATGCTTCAAGTGTTCAAGCCTAAACATAACTTGTCAAAGCCCTTCTTTTTTGCAACAGCTCGAGCGGTGCCGACGAAATCTGGTCACTCTGCGGGTTCTGCGACTGCTGCGTTGCTGAAGGCTCAGAAAAAGTTGGCAACCACACTTTCGCCATAAACTTTTCAGCGCCAAGCCTTCAACGGGCAGCGCTACAACTCCTTGGCCCGGGTCAGTGTGGCGAAGGGCCTCCATCCCACATGTCAAGAATAGGGTGGGAGCAACCATAGGCGTCCTTTCAGGGGAAATAGATGGCCCTGGTAGATGATGAAACCACCAGGTAAACCAGGGCCATCTATTTGTCTACCAAAACAACCACCTATGGGAGCAACACTTTGATAATTGTCGAAACATTGCCGGCATCCTCGCGGCTGGGCAAATTTCCCCGGTTGCCTCCCTACAATTTCCTGGAAGAACAGCACGCTTCAGGTGGCAACGAGAAAAAAGAGCTCTTTCGCTCCTCCACCGACTTGCCCAAGCGGTAACAAAGAAACGTGTTACAAGCTTGCCTCAGGCATCGTGTGAGTCTCAAGGGCGTATAGGCCCCGCAGAAAGACAGCTGGCCCTGCTTCCAGCCTCTCAGCCTGCGTTGGCCCAATGGAACAACAAGCGCTTTCCGTAAAGCCCGGGTCGCCCGCCGGAAGGACAAAGGGAAACGTTCGCGCAGGGCTGGCAGTCTCCGTGCAGAAGCTATGGTGAAAGCTGCAACTTTGCACATCTTCAAGGGCCATCCTTTGGCGAATGCACTGTTTGTGCAAGCATGCCAAGTTGGCTCTCGGGTTTCAACCTGCGTTTGCAGGCAAGGGAGTATGCAACAACTGGCAGATCGAACATCATGTGGCGTCCCACCTAAGCATGTCGTCTCTACTGCATTCTTGTTTGCTTGCCTGGGCCATGGACGCGACATGTCCCCAGTCCTATGCTGTGCTTAACTTACCGAGCTTACCACTAGGACCCTGGTAAGCCAACCCAAGAAAGCTACGACAAGCATTAACTACAAAACAATGTGAGGGTAGGGGGCTTGGTGCTTAGGACTGAGGCTGTTCAACCAGCTGACATTCACGTGTCAAGGTCGAAATGCTGAAGCAGCTGGGGCCGCAAGCGGCAACCAAGCAATGCTATTGCACACTGACGTCATTGTGGAATAATCGACATGTTGCCCAACAATTGGCCACCAGCCAGCACATGGTGCTAAACAGCGATGCTGAGAAGCATGCCAGATCAAACATCATCTCCGAGCAGCGCGATACATAACAGGCATCCGGCTTGCCAAACGTGGGGCAAAGCCCGTCAATGCCGCAAGGAGGTCTTTGGCCTTGGCAAGGTGCCATCAGTGCCCAAAGCTAAACAGGTTCAGGCTGCAAGCTTCCCAAACTTGCCACACCAGTGATCTGACCTGGGACCTGGCTGTTCTTGGGCATCCACATCGCCGAGAGCGCGGCTTCAAGGGCCCACTTCGCTGGAAGGCCGTCGAGATTCTCGAGAAGACCTGGCGGCCCTATGTGAACCATTGCGAATCCAGTGCAGTTGAACAAAGATGCCCCAAGCCAACTTCGCAAGCCAAGTCGGCCGCAACACGCTTGTCAGCGGCACTCTTTTTCCATGACTGCTTAGCAGGTCTGGCAAACTATGTACATGCACATCATGCAACGAAATCAACTGTAAAGTGAAGGCATGGGTACATTGCGACAAACAAACAAATCACTGGCTTTGGTCGGCGACTGCCTGTTCTCGAAGAACGTTGGCTACCAACGCAGTGACTTTCACTGACTTTCACAACGCACTGATGTCTCATGGTGCAGCAAGCCATCCTTGTCTCGTAGCTGAGCTGAACTCGCGAATAATCCTGGGCCCAACCTGCCAGCCGATTGAATTCTTGGCCTGATTCCGTCTTCTGGGAATTTGGAGCGGCCCCTTCATTGGTGCAGACATGAGGAGCTTGAGGTCTGCCCTCGACACGCTTGAGTCAGCTCATGCAAGAAGTTTTCAGAACATAGATACATCATATCAACACGGAAAAGCTGCGAGGGCACCCCATGCTCCAGGAGTACCCGAACTCAGCAGATCAGCCCTTTTTCAGAACTTCCATGAGGCGCCCAGCCAGCCCCAGCACTCGCTGGGAGTTGGGATGTCCCACCATCGCACTCTCCACCAGCGAGGAGCCTGAGCCAAGCGGGCAAGTGGTCAGATGCCGCCCCAACAAACGCTTACCTCGACGCTCAATTTTCTATTGGGGGGGCTCAAGCCATGGGGGGGGTCCGGGACCCCCTGTATGACCTCCAATTTTCTATGGTAACTCAACCTCAACTTGGTCAAGGACCTTTTAGCTGCCAATTCCAACTGCAGCAGCGGCACAGTTTAAGTCTGCAAGTGCGCCGACTCGCTCGGGTTTGCTGTGCGCAAGGCTGACGAGAGCAGCACAGCCAAAGGCTTGAACACCCTCGACCAAAGGGAAGTTTCCCATGGCCTGGCAGTTGGCAACTGATGAGCAGCAACGAACCCGTGCGGGTAGGAGAGGTAACAAGCGCTGGCCCTGTCACTTCGTGCCACTAGCCTGTACTTCCTTGACTGCACAAGTGAAGGTCCGTTCTAAAAGCACATCCAAAATCCAAAAAAAGCGCACCACTTAGGTGCGTCAACTTGACGCCTGCATCACCACCTCCAGTATCTCCGCCAAGGCGAAGAACTTCACTCGGCACTCCTTCATGGCAAGCACTGGGTGTCTCGCAATGCGAAGCGCGAGCCTGGACGGTGGGTCAAAATCGAACCACCAGGACTTGGACCGCAGGAAGGATGTCCTTGCCATTTACCAAGTTGCAAGCCATTTCTGGGCTACCCTCAGATCCCCTGCAAAAGTTTAACTTTTAGTGGGTGAAATGGACATCCCCACTAAACCCCAAAAAGCCAAAAGGCTAAGGGGATGGCTGGGAGCCACCAAGACTTGGGGCACCTATTTTTGACCCAGCCATATTTCTCCGTACGGCAAATCGGAGCAAAGAAAGCCTCCGACCGGCTCCTCGTTCCCTGAACTGAGCGCCTGCACTGCCGCAAGGCCGGAGGTTTGCACCTCCCCACCTCAGCTATGATGAGTCACTATGGTTGAAACCATAAGATTTGTTGGTACTTACGTTGGGGAATCATCACAATCCAGGGTTTCTGAATGGTGGCGCGAAATGGTCTTTGTCCATCCACGAAATCCTGCACAACCTAAGAAACCCTGGAATGATGATTCCCCTGTGAATACCAACGAGCAATGGTTTCAAAGGGGTGCGAACGGATGTCGTCCATCCGCATGATAATATGGCACGAGCCCAAGGCCTACGACAAGTCTAAGCCTCTTTGAAGGGAGCAGCGCGAGTTGAAAAATGTGCTTGGCCAACTGGCCTCATTATTTTACCATGAAAGTCACCCCCGTTCAGTGGTGGGTCAAAGGGAAACAACCCCATTTTCTGACTTTGACAACCCCCCAGAAACCGCCAAAGTTGACAACCCCCCAGAAACCGTCAAAGTAATGACCCCAGCCACATGAGCCAAGCAACTCTCAGGAAAGGCCCGCAAAGCTCGCACCACTGTCTCGACACCCAGTGTGGCCAGAATCTCCTGCTGCTGCTCCATGCCTGCCATGCATAGGACATGGAAAGTCGGGTACGCCATGGCGAGCGGACACAGACAGCCACCGCTTCAGCACTACCCACTAGCTATTTCTCTGTTGCCAAGTGGCCATGGGTCAAAATCCCGTACTTCCAGTGACCATCCCAATCCCCACTAAAATAGACTGAAATGGGTGGTGCACCTACCCCAAAAATTCTACCATTGGTTTTGACCCACAGCCAAGTAATGTTTCAGTGTGCTCCCGGCCTTGCCATCCAATTTCCGCGAGTAAGGACAGGCCATACTCTTGGATTTTTGGCTTGGAGATGTTCAGGTTCATAGCTTCCACCACCTCAGGCAACACTTCCCCTTATGCACCTCTCCCCGTCTGGCGAAAAAAAAAACAAAAAACACTCAACATGCTGATTTAGACCAGCCTGTGCTCGATGCGCAATTCCATAGTTCATATCTAAATTTCGGACTGGCATGAAAAACCGTGATGCTCCATGAGAAGCATTTCAACAGAAGAAAATCCCTGCGTTTGCGGCAGCTTTGCTGAGATCATGAAAGCAATGCATGCAAGAAGCACAACCTTCACAAGCGTATTAGATTGTTTCTTAACAATTTTCACCCATGCCTGCAGATGCTCTTGAAAAGCCGTACTCACTCATATCATGCCTGCGCACTCACGCGCAACATAGGAACCGGTTTCGCCCTTTTGGACGTGTCACTGTGCCCAACTGTGTCATGCATGCCGGTGGTCGGTGAGGTACAGCAGATCGTCCAACATAAGCCCAAAACAATCAAATTATGGGGCTTGACAGTCTCCTACTCTTCTCCCCGCTCAAAAGTTGGGCTTGCTTCATAACATGACAATAGATCCGCAGCAAAATATGCGAAGCGGCGGAATGATCAAGTAGCGTTCTTCTTCCTAGATTGCTTCCATGTGGCCCCTGGAGAAGCAGGCGAGCCGCTATACTTGAGCGTGGCTGGAACGAAAGCAAGCTAGCAAAACAAAGCACAGCAAAGCAAAGCCAAGTAAGCAAGCAAGCGACCAACACGCACTTATGCGGACCAATAGGGGGAATCAAGCCAACAACCTTGCCTGCACAAATGCTTCAAAATGATTCAAAATCGGCCTCGTAAATCCCGCTGGGATTCGTGTGCTTTTGCCCGAGCTGTTTCGGGTCACCCCCGCGCCCCAGGATCGCGAGTCAGTCTAAGCGATCTAAGCATAGCTCTTGGTCGAACACACTTTCTCCATGTTTGCTCCCCATCCACGTAGATGCCTCCTCTTCTCTTCCTGCCTCTGTTCCCGCATTTCCTCCTCCCTTGCTTTCTGCCATTTGCTTAAGCCCCCTGGACAAAATGAGAAAATTCTTCCAGTAGTGATAGATTCCCTTTGAAACCAACAGGGGAAACAAACAGCACATCATAGATTCCCTTTAAAACCAACAGGGGGAAAAAGCAAAAAACAACAAAAACAACAACAGCACCTCTAGATTCCCCGGCAAAAAAAAAACCTAGGGGCAAGTGGAAGCTTTCAGCGAGGCGCGATGGGCACGAGCCCCAGCTGCGCCAAGCTCTGCTCCACCTCGGGGCGGCGGCTGCCGGTGGCGATGACCCGCAGCACGTCCAGCCCCCGCTCCTGGAGCTCGGCGTCCTGGACGCTCTTCGACGGATCGACGGGCTCGCTCCCCGTTTGAAACCCGGGTAGAAAAGGCGGCGGGCTGAATTGACTTGGCTATGAGTTTTTAAGAAGGGACCCTTTGGTGGACATCATTTCGGGGATTCATGTCCACCATGTCACTTTTGAGGTGGTTCCCTATTAAAATTCATGGCCATTTCAACGGGCGTGCAAGCAGTTTGACAAGGCGTGGAGGAGTCCCAAGGCACGACGCTTCTTTGAGCTCATGCGTTGCTTGGTGGGCTTCGGGGGCGAGGCAGGGGGGAGGGGAAGCCCAAATAAGTCCGTTGATTAAAGGCTGGGGGAGGAGGGAGGGGAGGGAGCCCAAATAAGCCGTCAATCAGCAACATGGGTCAAAATCCAAATCGTACCCCAGTGAACGGGACCCAACCCCCCACCCCCCACTAAAATAGGTCCTAACATGGGTGGTGAATTCAACCCCATTTTTTGGGATGCCCTTGGTTTGGACCGGCCATTTTTCGACCAAACGTTTCAACCCAGGGGTTCCCTTGGGGTACATGACCCACCGGTTTCAGTCATTGGACCCCTGAGTCCGACTCGGCTTCACGAAGCTTCGAGCTGCGTTTCAAGGCCCTGGGAAATGGAACCGACAGCTAAGACATGCGGTCGTTTGATTTTGACCCATGCCCATAAAGGCTGGGGGGAGGGCTCAGGGGGGAGGGGGCGCCCAAATAAGCCGGGAAGAAGCTTATGTGGGCTCCCCTGGTTTGTTTGATGGCCCTTGGGATGAAGCAGTTTGACAAAAGGGCTACGTGACACGCAGATACAAACGAGTGCCAGGTTTCTTTGAGCCGTGGCACCAGTACACGGGTCACGTCTGCCGTTTGACCTGAAGCTCGGTCCTCCGGGTAATTCTGGAGGGCGCACACCAGGACTGGTACGGCTTCAAGTCTCACCTTGGCAAAACACGTCCCCCTGAAAGCATCGAAGAAAAGAACTGACGGCTCCCATCATCGTGCCCATGAAACTGGTTCCGACAAATGCAGGCCAGAAGCTAATCGATCGATGGCAGCCTCCTCGCCCTCCCCAGCCGCTGAAGTAGAAAGACGCAGCAAAGACTGTAGCGCCAGAACTGCCTTGTGCTGCACCTGCGCCAATGCACCAACATGCTTGCTCTCCTCTCTCGGCCATGCGCTCTCTGCTTGACACTTGCGTCACTGCATCTACTCCGCTTCCTTCCAAAAGGGGGT